AAGCTTCTTGACAGCATTTGCCCTCTATCACCTTAGGAAAACCAACCCGGACCGTATATCATTCATACAGAGACCAGATCGGGTCAAAAACACTGTTCCATCCGCCGGGGCTTTCGTTCACCTTTTCAGTCATTCGAATGGAAAAGTCAGAAATAGGAGATTGTCAAACGTATCAATGATCAGGGGTGGATTGAGTAAATTCATGTTTCTGATTTCTGTATTTTCGACGGGAAAACACTGTTTTCAACTCATCATTCTTTATAAAGAAGGTACCATGTCAGTTTACTACTGAGTACATGGCCTGTCAAATGACAGAATTTCACTGTGAACACTTCAACCGTTGATCAAACAAAAACAACGGTAACACGTAAATTTTTTTCGACAGAACTACCCAAAATGCCGAATTTATATCATACAAAACATTCTCCACCACCTACGACTCCTCCAGAACAGTTTGGCCACGAAGGAGCATTTTTGAAAGAGTTTCGCGGTTGACCGTGTGAAGTCAACAGGTGGTAGGATCTAACCACTCGCCTACAATATCCGTAGAGATAGCTCAACAATGGAACTGAACGCACACGCGCATTTCAGTCGCTTTCATTAAACCATTACTCAACTGTGTATTGATTTCCGTTTAAAATGACACCTAATTCAAATAAAAATATAGATTTTAATCGGATAGTCCGCAACTGACTTCTTTTATGCAAAGCTATCGATGGTAGATAGACCTATTTGAGAACAATAAAGACGCTCATCCATTGTAAAATACTGAGCATCCACGAGAATATCGATATTTGTTAAATGACCGTAGGCAACCCACGCTAGTGCAATTTGCACAAGTTCCTCTGTTCATATTATGGTTTTGTAAATTCCCACTGCTCGTTTTTCTTTAGTGTTGATTCAACAAATACCACGGAGCTCGCTCGATGTCTGTGTCATTCGTGAGTTTATTGTCGTGTGATTTTACAGTCACACAGCTACATCGGTTTGGAGTTAGCAGGTTAAAACACAAGCAAACAGAAAAGTTCTATGCAGAGGAAGTATCAAACTAGTTTGTAAGCATGTGCATCGAGAAACCGAAGGGTTATCTATAAAAAAATAAGCAGACCTTCAGTCAGTTAGATTATTAACTCCGGTTATAAAGTGGGAAACGAAACCCGAGATTTTTCAAAGCAACACACTGTAAAAACTAAATCACAATTCGCTGCACCTGTGACGAGAAAAGCACGGATTCCTGTAGGTTGCAAAAGAAAAAAGACTTCCCACATTGAAAACCAGGCATTGCAGAAAGAGAACTCACTCACTTGAGTTGATGAAGTGGCATTTTCATAGCGAACGCCTGTAGCTCGGGCAACTCGAGCATCGGCAATTTGTCCACTTTATGCATCATCCTTACGACGCATTGGGAACCGTCAAGCAAATAAAATATACCCTCACGCGTTGCACCCTTCATTTCCGAGGCTATTTGGATGCAAATAGATGGACAAGTCTGCTCTAGTTCTTCGTATTGCTCATGAGGACATCAATTAGAACAAGAAATGATAACCACTGTGTGAATAGATAAACTGGTTAAGATACGTACCCCTGGACACAATGTTTGCTTCCCCGTGATACTACTCCGCATAACAAAAACAAATCTGATCCACTTTATTAATTTATGAAAGAACAAGTGGAATGGTCGAAAAAGAACTAATTCGGCCTTGGCTGAGATTCGTCAGTCGTATGGATAATTATTGTGCACCAGACAGGATACAAACCGCGAATCTTCCCGTTCGGATCTAAAAATAGTTAACCCAGAGCTAGTCCGTCAGCCGATGAGAACAACCTAAATCCGATACACGTTCAGATAACGAATGTATATATTCAACTTTGACAGAAATTCATTAGTTTACTGGTAGAAAGAACGAAAATGACCCAAATGTCAAAATATATAAAGCAAAAAACCTTTAGATACTGATCGGCTGGAATGTAAAAACTTACTTTTGCAATGCAGTGCGCTAATCATACAACTCCAAGAGGCCTCGGTAATCAGTTTGGGCGGTATGAGGTTAGTGATCTGATGCTGGGTACATTCCGTGACCCAACGATTGATGTACCGTCGCTTATTCTCTGCCCCGTGAAGAGTATCAACCTAATGTGAATGCACACAGATGAACACACACACACGGTGCTCACTTTTTCCACTGCGCATTTGTAGTGACGAAAAAGATTAGTTAAAAATTGGTTCTTTACCAACGCATGCTTCAATAGGAACATGCGTTTGGCCAGTCCATTTCGAGCGAATGGCAAATGACAGCTCAGAATCACAGAACTGACCGCGTGGTGAACCATGGAGTCCGGGAACTGGCCAGGCCAATGCAAGACTTGTTGCAGTTCGATACGAGTCACACCATCACTGCCGGACAAAAGCATGGCCAGTACTTCGTAAAGACAAACCGGGGCCAGGCATACATTCGTCAACTCCTCTGAAGGGGACAGATATCAAATGTAAACGGCAGTGAGGATAAGTGAACAACAGATCTTTGTGATAAAAACTGACAAAATGAGATTCAATCTCACCACGCTGAAAACGCACAACCTGCCCGTAGATGTCCTCTGTGAAATCGAGTAGACTGCGGTGAATAGTTTCACTCAGCTCGTTTTCTGTCGGATTCTCCATACCGTTTGGATAGTTCAGGGCCGGAGATGTGCGATATTCGCAATACATTTCGTTTTACCGATGCGAACATCTAAGTCAGTGAAGTGGTGATTATGTTTACTGAGATCAACGCACGGGCACACATACACGCACGCAAAAGGCCACGTGTGTTCACTCAGTGGCGCACGATGATTGGTCCCTTAACGCCATTCATCAAACTAACTTGCACCTGTCGACTTTACCAAATCAGGTGAGCCACATGTCGCTCAAATGTCGATGGAGAACATCGGAGATGCTATTAGTTCGATCGAATCACAGCGTGGGAGATCAGAGAGAAAAAAAGGTGTTGAGGTAGAAGAGAAGACGTACTCGTTGCAGTGCTAAACCGCGAGGCTATTTTGGAGGATGTTCAACTGAACGGACCTAGGCGCGTGCAATTGTGATTGACGGTGTAATTATTGGGGAAGGAAAGCAAAATTGACTTGTGTACATTTTTGTCCCTATTACGTGTTCAACGTGGTTTATAACAGCTATATAAGGTACATAGTGTATTTCAGTCTATCTCACAGCATCTAACTCCGCGCATTGATCAATTGGTGTAGATCATCATCACATCGCCCCAAAGATCATGTGTTCCAAATCCACCACCATCTTCAAACTTATCGACTACATTGTACCCCATACCGGTCTTTCGATTGACGGTTTCCCCTTCCGGAACAAAAGAAGCTAAGATAAACCAGACAAAACAAGTAAATAATAATAAAATACAAGCTTTGAGCGCATGCTTAGCTGCGAAATCAAGTCTCTGATTCTCGGTGAATTCACTGATTGATTCGAAATATTGACTCGCTGCGTGGTAGCACAGGACATTTATATGCTTTCCAGTGAAACCAGGCCAATACGTACAAGAATAAAAGTTATTCACAGTAATGATCTGCACAAATAAAATCGCTCAAAACAACACGCACCCGTGGAAGTCGTTGATCTCCGAGACCGGCTGGGGTGAAGAAAGAGCATCAATACAAACAGGGTACGGATTTCAGGGGTTGATCTAACATGTTGAATTACTCAACCAATTGCGAACTGCTTCGGGTTCGGTTTTCAGGTAGTACGTTTTAATCGTGTCGCTTGTTCTCCCATCAGGGCAGTTTTAAATACATTTTGACGGCGTGTTCGTGACCGTTTTCCTGTGCCCAAAGGTGAGTTCATTTTCAGATGCAGTAGATGACGGGTCTGGAACATATTTGATTCCATAAAAACATGTGGAAGAATAATACCTGTAGAAAAGTGATGAAAAGAATTTAACACAAAAAACACCCAGAGGACTGCCATTTCGGATACTACGTAATGCAGGTGCATCAGGAGTTCTAGTACATCAAACTACCCAAGACCAATTATCAGTCTCACTACTGGAAACAACCAGCGGCTCGAAGTTACATAAGAGTGATGTTAAGTTCTGCGTAACGTGAACCTAACTGTGGTCACAATCGCATACGCGCACAGTCTCCCTCCAATCCGAGCAGGCCTTAATGCATCAATGCGTTGACAGTAAGGTAAATAGATATTCAGGGGACAGTCTAGTTGAAACAGTCAATCAATACTGTATGAAAGCTTTGTTCAAACTACAAGGAAATCAACGTTAATTATCAGCAATATTACCTACTTTTTATCTGTAGTAGAAATCGACTTGAGGGGTTTGAGGATCTGACCATTTGATGTACGAGAAATCCTGCTTGGTTTTTAGAACCGATTATTGTTATGGTTTCCAAATATTACTCCAGGACAGCTGTCCGGCTAACATGAGAAAAGCAGAATCGATCTTTATCCAAATACGCTCAGTAGGAACGTAGGAACGAGTGTATGGGTCGTCGAGGGATGGAAGCAAGCGAAAAGACCTAAAATAGAATCACCACACGCGTGCATGAGAGAACGAGGAATCGATAAACAGACGATTTAAAAAGTCGGTCATCGATTACCGATATCGCTGAGAAGAGTTCATAACGATAACTGTTGGTGAAAATGGTACTTACGAATTTGTATTTACGTGGTACATTGGATGTGCGCCATAGTACCTAAGAGCCCGGGTCTCTGAACACATCCATAAACGGTTAATAGTAGACGGGTCAAAGTATTAAGCCATTAAACTAGAAAACATGTGAACGACCTTAGTCACATGGTCAACCCAATCGATATCATTTGGGTTACCCTTTACCCTAAATGGCCGTGTCAAATTTAGTTCGCGGGGGTCGTGATCAAATCCGACTCTGTGAACACTGAATCAGTATGAGGTCATACTAGTCTTTTCTCGCGGTCACATTTTACTTCTATCCAGTGATCTCTGAGTTTACATATCTCGCACGCTCTTATCCAGACTTTCTGCTATTCTACCTATTCCGCTGTAACTACCACTTCATTATCAGTCCATACGGTTTCCATGTGTTACGGCTGATTAAGCTCCAGTAGTGTTAACTCGACTTCGAATAGTTTGTTCTCACATTCCAATTCTCTTTCACGCGTGCATTGATCCACCCATCCCTATTCACTAAAAACCAAACATCTACATACACTGAAAATCATTCACATATTCCTGAAAAATGAGAGCTTAGGATCAAGTGAAAAGCTTTAACTTTTCGGTCTTGTTGGTCTCATGAATAAGTTCCGTTTTTTATTCTCATCGTCATACAGTCCCGCAATTGAACCTGCCGCTTGTTTATGCAGCAGAAAATATTTAGCACTGCGTCAGGCATCTTGGATAATATCTCTAGCCTTTATCGAAGTTACTCAGGACAAACTGTTCCAGGAAAAGCCAAACTTATCGATCACTTAGTCAGACACAACTATCTGACTAAACAGATAACTATGCTTACCTTGTTTATTCACACTACAATTATCCTTTTCTTTCAAGGTAAATTGGTTGTTTTAAACCCCCCGCCCACCAAGTTGCTAAGCCAACTGAATGGCGGTCCAATTTGAAGTGAGTAAATAGCCCGACGACACACTACCCGCATCTCTTGTGAAACACAATATCCAAGTTTATAATGTGAAAACTCGTAGGCTGTTCAACTGCACCTGTGCTTAAATAAAATCCGTTACATTTGTGTGAGCATAAGATTATGCGATCAAATATACATAACAGTTTGCATGTCATAGTAAAGAATCAGTGTGATTCGGAGCGCATTTGGACTTGATAAACTCCATTCACTCTCTATTCTGTGTACTCTTCTCTTCTACATCACTTTTCTATTCACAGATCAATTGCTTTCAACTCGGTCCGAAGCGAGTTATATGAATCGAATCAACATCACCACTGGAGGCGCTTGTGCGCAGTGATGGAACATCAACTTCGCTATCCGTTCAAACATCACGACAAAGGATGTGAACAGGTATTTACTATTCCCCATTCGGGTTTGCTACCACAGAAGGTTCAGTACAGAACAGTGGCACTTATTTGCAACAATTTAACTGTTTTTAGGGAACTCACAGTCCACGGCCTTTCAAACCGAGGTAAAAAAAACTATGGGCATAACAAGTACCCCGTACCTAACGATGCTTGTTATACAACCGTCTCTGTGTCTTAGTTTTAGCATCATTCCCAGGAGATCAGACTCTGGTAGTCATAGTTTGCCTAATTATACGGGAAGTTTTCGTATGTGTAAGAGCTGCCATTATACTCGTTTTCGTAGATGTATGACAGAATTCGAATGAACAAGGTGATTATTTTTCTACCTCATATTTGAGAACACACGGTGGCAAACAAGGTCGTTTTTAATGCATGTTAATCAGACCATGACAGCACAACATATGATCAGTTACGAATTTCGTTAACCTATATTCAAAGTGAGGACCAATTATGATACCAACTGTTGAACATCATATGTTATGTGAATCCAAGAAACGAGACATCACTTACTGTGCGTTTCCTTATAAAAGTTGAGAGCTCAAGACATTCTTATTAAACCTGTCGACCCAGCGAATTCGATCCAACCCAGTCCTTTGTACTACGATTGTTCAAGTCTGTCTCTATCGATGATGATGTTTCAATCGCTAATCCGGACGGTAGACAGGATTCTTTGCAACCACAGCCTAGTTGCAAGGATCGAAATAGTCGCAGAATCAATGAACCCGGAACCTACGAGCTAATGACTAGCCGTTAATGTGTGTGATGTTTTAGTATGGTTCACAAATCACCCAGGTAGTTGATACATTGTGAAGAAATGTCATAATACTCTAGCGTATGTTTATGAGTTATTTAATGTTAGAGGTTATACATCTGTGGAGCTCGCCCCAATTTTGTAATACATCAATCGAAAACTGGTTACCAAGATGCGACTCCGAAAGAGCTAGTTGCATTGGATTCCGTATTTTCCATTTAGAAAAACGTGGGAGTGATAAGACTGACGTTCTGTTGTTCGATCCATTAAATTGCCTTTGGGGGTCGTGAGTGAACAATGGTTGCCACAAAGAACGAGATTTGGTGCAATTGTGCGAGTTCCACACTGCTTCGGTCGACTTTAACAAGGTTGACTTCAGTTGCA